CTCTTTCACCTCGCTCCCTCTTTTTACAAAAGTAAACATTTGACCCAAAGTGCACCGTAAAGTGTCCTCAAAACTTCTGATGGTCACTTTTCTTTCTGTTCTGAAGAGCTTGGATACCTCTCTTCCATTGGCTTCCATTGGCTCCAGTTTTGTTCGAAATTTCAAATATTATAGATACTATGACCCATGCCAATTGAACAATGACGAAAACTAAAAAGGTATCGTCGTATTTATGATATAATCATATGAGCTCCCACTTTCTTTAATACTATCGAATGATGGATTTCCTTTCAGGCACGCCAACGAGAGCTCATTGAAGACTCGCTGGATGACCTCTTCAACGATTCCGAGACCATTTCTCTTTCGCCGATCCAATGTAAAATTCCTATTCTGAATAAGTTAAGACCATCTTATTCCAGCTCTCCCCACTAGAGAAACCTACATCATCACGACAAGAAAGACCCGAAATTCAGGAAATACACATCTGGATGAGGATGTACCTGTTGTATCGAAGTTGCCAACGGAACCTTCATGTGCAGAGATGATGCTCGCTTCGGAGACTATGAAAGTGACAAAGAGGAAAAGGATCGCATTTTCAAGCATATTCGTAGCTAATCTCTTCATTTAATAAGTGTATAATTGCAGAGAAGACTTGGATTCGTATACTAGCTTCGATTCCAGCAGAAGTTTCGAACCAGCAGACATTCCACTTACTCCTTTTGAACGTCTGTATGAGCCTCGAGAAGCTTGTTACTGGGATGCTCAAGTTTTTGCCGACTTTGAAAGTGAGAGTCGTGAACTAGAAAGATTCATGGACCAGCACGATCTAGCCAGAGCTTCAAATGCGTCGAGGAGAATCACAAAAGCAGAAAATGTGAAAGCAGTGCTCCCAAGATTCAGTGGGTTTTCAAGTAACAACAAAAACAACATTTAACCATTTATTCCAGGCGCTGCTGAGATCAAGAATCGTATGGAGAATAGAGACATCAAAGATTTATTTGGATACTTTGCTATGCTTCCTCATCCATTTTCAAAGTCAATTAAAAGCCGGGACGAGTGAGTTATTTTAGCTTATCATCCACGCAATATGGTTCTTCCAGAAGGAAAATTGATCTCATGGGCAAGTATAGCGAATATTTCAATTATTTCAATTATGCCAACCGTCCCGGAAGCCACGCAATGGCTAAGCATATGGCAATTCAGAATAAACTTGTTGAACTTCAAGCTTTCTTGGACGATCCGGAAGGGCGTCCGCCACCGGCTCCTGAAATAAATGTGCCTGTTAGAAGGATTGGGCCAAGCAAAAGACCAAAACCAGTCATCCTAATAGACGAGTCATCGCAGCGAAGACGGGTTGTGATTCCTGATGACGATCTAGTTATTTCTGTTAATATCCAAGAACAACAGCCTTGTACGAGCGAAGCGATTTTTGAGAAGAGGGTAGTGGCTGATGAAGGAGATGTTCGGATTCCGAAGAAAGTTCGGAAAGAACAGCGTTCCAGTGATGATCAACCTCCAGGGGTAACTCGAAAAGTTGTTCGTAACATTGATCCAAGCTGTGAGAGGGAGATTCTGCTTCGCCAGCAACGGAAAGAAGCAGCGATGAAGCGTGAAGCTGAGCATTTTGAGAATCAAAAAAGGGTGAACGAAGAACACGAAAGACAAGCTGCTGCTGAACGCGCTGAGTATCAACGTCGAAGAGAAGAAAAGGATAGAATGCGAGCTGAACGGATCAGGGAACAAGAACAGCATGAAGAGGAACTCCGGCAAGAACGAATTAAAAAGGCTGAAGCGCACAAAAAAGCAACGGAGGCTGCAGAAGCGATGAGAAAGAAACGAGAAGAAGAAAAGAAGCAACGGGAAGTAGCCGAAGAATTCGAAAAGCTAAAACAACGACTCGATATTGAAGCTAGAGAGCAAGAGGAGAGAATGGCTGCAGAGAAGAAATTACCGTAAGTGTATCGTGGTGAAATATTGGTTTCCCCCATAATTTCTACAAGAACCTAACTATTTACGTGGGTATCTCAAGTTCCCATAATGCAACGAAATACAGTAATCGTTCCGAGACTCATTTTAAGTTTAATGCATAGTTCCCTTTAAAGATACTGTAGCGGACTTATAATTTATTGCTAACCTTCATTTTTTTCTATTCCATTTCTCTTTTCTTGACACACACTTCTTTTCAGAGTTCCTGAGCCTATCGATACCACCAGTTTTCAATGCTTGCGAGTCAAAATGCCGAATGATTGGTCGAAGCGCAAAGGTACGCCCGACTGTATCATTGTTACCCAACCATATTGATTTCCAGATGCGTACTATAATCGTTATGAGTGGCCATCCGACGCAGCGCAACGAGAGATTGAAAGAATGAGCATTCCGAGAGGAACTGATCAGGGATTCATCGACATTCCATGGCAAGACTACCCCGGCACCAGACTGATTCCTCTGTTCATACCACCTTCGTATGCTCGAAGATCCGCTTCGTCTTCCGCTTCGTCTAATTTGTCGTCTGCGCGGAGCCCGGCTTTACCGGTCACTCCGGTTTACATTCCAGGAGACACCCAACTTCTTGATAAATTAGTTTCTGAAATCAAAGAATTGATGGGACCTGCTCGAAAAAATATCGCGAATCATATCTCCTTGAGTAAGTTTAGTTTGCGTTTTGTTTTTGAAAAAATCGGCCATTATTTTCAGCCGGGGAAGAAGTAGACTATCAGAAAATTCCTCTTCACAAGCTTAGAAGTTGTTTCGTGTACCCGTTTTTCCTTTCCGAAGGTCTCTATTGGCCTCTTTTCTTCATGCTAGATGACACTTCAACTGCAACCCATGTCGAAGCTCTCACCGTATGCAACACGTTCTCTGGGAGACATGCATCGAAATATCTCCTGACTACCACAGCTCAGGAAGACAGTGCTGCGAAAAAATTCGATTCGACTTATCACGATTGCGCCGGACCCTGGCACGAGTATTCTCAAAAACCAGGACGATTCAGCCAACGAATCGGCTACAAAGCACATTTAAGAAGTTCGACGTTGAGTTTCGAAGAGGAGAGAGATCGGGCTAGAAAGAAATTGAAAAATGATTTTGCCAACGAAAGGAGAGAAGAGGATGAACTTGAGCATATGATGGACGACTTTAGACGTCGAAAGGATGACAATAGAAACGAATTGAGAAAACACTTCACTTTGCATTTGCGTCAGCTCGTTAAAGACGCTCGTCTTGATGTGTTCTCCTTAAAAGAAACGTTTAGTGATTACGATAGAAACGTTGTGAATCATCCAGGAACTCGTACGACACCAATCGAATACTGGTGGCACATTCATGGCTACCGACTCTTCCTGAAAACAAGAGATGAAGAGTATGGGACGTTCATGCATCGTGCATGTGCTGACTATGAGAAATTGTTAGAACGAAAAGGATCGACTGGTGCAACGGCGTATAAATTCAGCGAATGGGCATTCACACCCATGCTTGCTTCTCTTCATTATCAGGTGAAGAAGTTTTAAGGTACTGATTTCAATTTTGATTATTTCAGAGCAAATACGCCCCGTATGATGTGTTCTCTTCCAAAGATATGAAAGTTTTGGCTGATAGGTACAAACAGTACAATGGGATGCTCAAGGAGAAGAAGTTTCATTTCGACAAATTGTTTGAGATCTGCAAACTGACGGATCTCGACAAAAAGCAATGGACGATTCTCAACGATCAACTAGTGTCCCATTTCCGGCAGTTCCGTAAGTTGTCGATTTTTAATCCTGACAAGTTTATGTTGTATTTTTCAGCCGCCATTTTCACTTTGATCTTCAATACAAATGGGGCCCTTATTCATCGCGTTGACTATGTCGTCGACAATATTATGAATACTGATTTTAAAGATAGAAATAACATGTGGAACGTCGCCAGGAATGCCAGACATGAATAGAAACATCTTCAAACTTTTCAATCACTTCTTACAGTTTTTTAATTTATTTGCCTGCCATCCCTTTTATTACGGGTCATCTCTTTTGCGGTGTTTTGTAACCTCTCCTCACATCCCTTCTGAATCAAACTGACATATTCTTGCTCGCCCAAATTCCCTGTTTTCACCAAGTAAAAGATTACGGTTTTATTATGTTTTTAAAAAGGCAGGAAACAATGATAGGGGGGAAAAAGTTGTTCGGTGGTGTTCGTATTTATGTCCCGTCAGTAAGCGAACGCTAGAAATTTAAATACAGAAAAAATGAAGTAAATGGTGAGGTGGTGGGGGTTCAAAGAAAGATGTGAAATAAGGAAAGGCAATTTCTAGGCGAAACAAATGAAAAGACATTAAAAAAGAAAGAGAGAATTGCAGAGAATTATTAATGGAATGGCTCATAATCTGACACATTCGATCAGAGTAGATTCCGATGAAGATTTCTGAAAACGCTTTCGATCAGAGTAGATCCTGACGCAGATTTATGAGACGAGGTTTTAGGGAGGAGAAAAAAGAAAAAGATGAGAGAACACGCATTTGAAAGAAAACGGTGAAAATGAGCAGATGTGAATGTCACAACATGATGAAAATTGAGGTTTTACACGACGTTTTCTTCCGGAACGTTTTTAAAATGCGCGCAAACGCCAAAAACCGTAAACTATAGTAACTAGCGTTAGTCTCGACGCGAAAGCAAAAAAAGAGCGGGAAAAATATTTTGAAAACGTTCCGGAAAAAAACACAGCGAGAATTATTAGTTAAATGGATCGAGAAAAGAAACACACAAGTACAACAACAACACGCCTTGTTTTGTGATGGTAGTCCGATTAATAGTGCCCTGCATATGCGTACCGCTGAAAAGAGAGAAGAAGCCAGTTGCAGATGTATTTTAGAAGATTATTCATTAAAACACACCGTCTGATTAGTATACCCGTTGTTAATAAAACTCGGCGGAGACTGTCGTTCTTGTGTTGAAAGACGAGCTGGTGAATGATTGGAGAGTGGAATGTTCCAGTAACTTCCGTACTGCGACACCTTTCCTGCCTTAAATGGATTAGATCTTATTAGAAGAAGAGCACACGACACACTTTGTTAAGCAGGGAATACACCTCAAAAAATAAACGAAAAACCAACCTGTTGACCGGAAAGAGTAGCCGGTTGGCCGCCGAGTCGTGCCGCCCTTTCTAAATGATCCTCATACGTGGATTCCTTTCGCTTTGACTCGTATGCCGTCGGACGGATACCATAGGAGACGCCGTACATGGCACGGAGTTGAGACGATTCTCGAGAGCTATTCCGTCGCCTATAACAAACGTAGGCACCAATACAAACTAGGATTACCATCCAGGCAAGGATTATGCTCACTGGTAGAAGGATGGCCATTCCTGGAAATTAAGCTGTTGTATCTAAGGATCCTTTAAAAAACAACTCACTTGACGACTGCTCATCTGCGTGACCCACATTCACTGTTGGCTCATTCCGCTGCTTCGGAAGTTGTGAGTTCACAACCACTGATGGTTGTTGCACGATCCTCCGTTGTGTGATCTCCATCTGTGAAGGTCGTGGCTTCTGAGTCGTCGTGAACACAAATATCGATGGAGGCACTTCTGTGCTTCTCGCTTCTGTAGTTGCCATTGTTGTCGTGGTTGTCGTTGGAGCCATTGTTGTAGACGTTGTTGTAGTACTAGTTGTTGTAGTTGTAGTCTCTTCATCTTCAGAAGTTTCCACCACATGAGCATCTCCGACAAGGTCTTTTGGTGGTGGCGTCAGATCTGGTCGTTTCTTCGTTGTTCGGAACTAAAAAAGTTATGAATAGAAAAGTTATTTAAATAGAAAAAAATCTAACCGCATTATCCAAAGATTCCAAGTCATCAGTAAAGTTGACAGCTTCAAATGGTGACTCTTCATTTTCTGACATATCCTCATCGATTGGAGAATGAGCTGGAGCAAGAGTAGTTGGTCGAGAAGAAGTCGTGGATTCTGTAGATGTGGACACTTCTTCTTTTAGTGGCTGAAAAATTCAAAAGTAACGGTATACTGTAATTCTTAAATCAATAACTTACTGTTTTGATAGAAAAGTCTGGAAGGGGTCTTTGTGTAGACTTTGGAGAAGAACCGACTCGTTGATTTGGACGGAAGAGTTCTGGTTGAACAGTGACAAATGGTGGGAATGTGACTTCGAAAGCATCTGGTCCAACTTCAAAGTCTTCATCCGAAAGGGATACAATCGGACGATGTGGAGTACTGGAGAAGTTTGGACGAGGTCTAGTCGTAGCCTTTGTAGTTGGTCGTTTCGGTTGATTAGCAATCGGGGCACTTGTTACAGTAAGAACATTGTTCGAATTTCTTCCTCTCGTTACAGTACCACCCCCTCGAACCAGAGTTGGCACGATGGTCTCTGATGGCTGATCAATTAAGAATGCTCCTGGAGATGGAAGTGTCAAGTCTTCCTTCTTCTCTTCTAGAAGTTTTGAAGGGAGTCTTGGTGCAGTACTCAAAAGATGGTCACAATAGGGAGGAACTTGAATTGGTTGAGCACATGGCATGAGTTGGGGTTTATCGATACGGTAAAGCCAGGTTCCTGGTTGTTTGATGTTACTATTCTTAGCTAATTGTGCGATAGCCTCAGTTCCGGATGCTGGTAGAAGGATGGAGGAAGAAGCATCGGAGGAAAGGATTCCAGCTTCTGCTCCACTTGCCCATGGGAGATCTCGATACATTAATTCGACGAATGTCATTTTTTCGTTTCTAGCACCAGATCCGTCTATTAAAAGAGCTTGGAATGTGTTGCCTTTCTGAAAAAAAACTAGATCTTCCAAAAAATAATATTTACCTTTAACTCACCGACTGTCTTCCATCAGTCACATTTGAAAAAGTAACTACTAGGGCACTCTTTGCTTCGAAACTTGGATCATTATAGTTCTCAGCAATCGTCCTTGTCACCCTTCTCAAAACTTCCACATCATCCACCTCTTCTACACTAACAGCTCCATTTCTCGATAAATCAATTGGTCCAAAGAATGGAGCAATTCCAACCAATTGCATATCTTCTAATCTACCTCCATATCTGTTAACCTCATTGACAGCAATCAATCCTGTTGATGTCACTGTTAATTTTTCTGTATTCTCTCCGAAGATTTTCATTGGTTTCTTCAAATTCCATTCCATTTTTGAGTTCTTCTTTCGTGGAAGTTGATGGTGTGTATCGTATTGGAAGAGGAATGACTGGGAACAATCATTCTGTCCATCTCCACTGAATCCCTCTTTACACATGCAGAAATATCTTCCAGGAGTATTAGTACACACTGCATTTTTATGACATATCGTTGAGTTGGCTCTGCATTCATCGACGTCTTCACAATTGTTATAACCATCTCCTTTGTATCCATTCAAACACTGGCAACGTTGAATCGGCTCACCACAACGATCATAATCATTGAAGGATAGAGCATTGGATGCGCATTGAGTCTTTGTTGCACACTTTTCTTGTCTGGTTTGACAGGCGACGCCGTCCCAGCATGTGGCACATCCACGTGGACAATCTCCAGAAATCGGGTGACATGTTCCTTCTGAGCAATGGCAACAGTATGCACAGTCTGGTCCCCATTCACCGTTGGAGCATTCTGAAAATTGAAGATTTTTCAGTTGAACTTTTCAAGGAAGAATGTTTCTAAAAATTCATAGAGATTCGCAACCATTTGGCTCTTTTTTCAACCCCATTAACTTCTTATCTTCCCCATTCTCCCTTACCCTGATCACAAGTGTCTCCCTTGATTCCAGATTTACAACTGATAACTCTCAAATCTGATAGCTCGAACATCCATTCTCCGGGAATTCCAGTGTTACCGTACTCCTCCAAATACATAATATTTGGGGTTCCAGAAGTGGGAAGTTTGAAGTGATTTGTTGCATCACCAGCATTGAATCCAGCCTGAAAAAATGACGATTTTGATCCCCGACACTTTCAACATTCCATAAATCATAATTATTTTGAGGGGAAATATTTCTTTTCGCGCGTTTCTTCCGTTTCCGCCGTCCGCAAGATTCAGGTTAAATCAGATGAAAATCGGACGGCGAAAAGAGGAGAAAAGAGAATTGGAAAAAGTGATTACATCTGTTTAATCTCGATTTATGTTTCCCTTTATTATTTATCTGGAATCCCAAATCTTAATTATAACTTGTCCAAACACAAACCTCGGCGCCTTGTGTCCATCCGATGTTACTGTAGATGAAGTTGGCAAATGTTCCATTAGCAGTGATGAAAATGGCAGCTTGGAATGTGTTGGTGTTCTGAATTGGAATTATTTTCAGGCTAAGAATTTCTATAAACTCACCTCTTCTGGAAGAGCCGCCGTATTCAAAGGCTGCATTTTGTCCCAAGTGATAATCAAAGCCGATTTCACCTTCACATTCTTATCGTACTGATAACGAATTTCCGATTGTCCACGCTCCAAAACTCTTCCCTCTGAAACAAAAATGCATAATTCTAGAGTTCCAGCGGATCTCAAAACTCACTTGTCACCTCTCGATAGTACACTTTTCCTCCGTTCCTCAAATCATTACGATTCCAGAATGGCGCCAAGAACCGTGTAGATCCAGGAAGGATTCCGGATTTGTAGGATCTAGAGCTAGCTTCAAAACCTACGGCTCCGTTGGAGAGAACCTAAAAATTTTAAAGATAATCCTAAAAAAAGAAAACTTTGAATTCTTACATAGATAGTTTTGTAATCGGATCCGAAGAATTGAAGTGGATGCACCAAGTCGAGTTTCTTGCCAACGTCCAATGCTTGAGGAAGTTCTTCATCACCAGCAGATGCTCCATAGTCAAAAAGACGACTGGAGAATAGGGGAGCGGTTACCTGGAAATGTCTGTGTGTCTGTTTGTCGTTATTTAGAAATTTGAAGCGTAGAGGATTTCAGTACTTGAGTTATTAGATTTGATAGTTTTATTCAATGACCAGGACGGCCGTTTTGACAGTTCTAGGCATATCTAGAAATTGAATTCTACAGGGTCCGCCAAAATTACGTGTGCACAACTTTGACGCCATGGCGCTGCGCACTGACGCACTTTTGGTGCGCAATTTTTTAAAATTTTTATTAATTATTTCATTATTTATTAGTTTGCCAAGTTTCATCCCAATCGGTTATGTTTTAGGTAAATGACAGCGGCAAGTCCTCATCGTACTCTGATCGTCGACTTTTACAAGCGAGGTTTAAGCACAGGAGACATTTCTAAACGACTCGGAGTGCACCGAAACACGGTTTTCGCGACCATCCGTCGTTTCAACCAGCTTGGCCACCTCAAGGACCGTACGGGAAGAGGAAGACCGAGGACTGTAAGAACTCCAGCGAAAGTCAAGGCCGTCCGGGAGAAAGTCAGGCGAAATGCTCATCGTTCCATGAAAAAGATGTCAGATGACATGGATATCTCCTATACATCAATGAGGAGAATTGTCAGAAAAGAGCTGAAGATGACCTCTTATCGAGCAACAAAAGCTGCTATTCTATCCCAAGCCAATAAGTAGAAACGGCTCATCAAAGCGAAGCGCCTTCTCGCTGGCACGCGCAAAAAGGATCATCTTATCACCATCTTCTCGGACGAGAAACTCTTCAGTGTCGAGGCTGAATTTAATAGCCAAAACCACCGAGTGCTGGCCACAAATATTCAACAAGCAGCTGAGCGTGGTAAAACAATCCATCGAGCCTCTCATCCTGCGAGCATCATGGTTTTCGGAGCGGTTTGCTATGATGGGAAGTGTCCGCTTGTTTTCGTTGATAAAGGCGTGAAAATCAACCAAAAATACTACGTTGAGGAGATTCTGGAGAAGCATGTGCTACCGTGGGCTCAAAACCACTTCGGTCAGAAGAAATACATCTTCCAGCAAGATGGAGCGCCTGCTCATACCGCAAAAATGGCTCAACAGTGGTGCAAGGACCACTTCCCCGCCTTCATACCAAAGGACGAATGGCCGGCTTCGTCGCCTGATCTGAACCCGCTCGACTACTCCGTATGGGGAGTTCTGCAGAATAAGGTCTGCGCAAGACCTCATGCAAATATCGAGGCCCTGAAGAAGTCGTTGTCTGAGGAATTTGACAAATTATCCGTCGAATACCTGCGTGCCACCATTGATGCCTTCCCTCGACGACTTCGTGCCGTGGTCGCTGCCAAAGGAGGTAGAATCGAATAATTTTTGTTGAATTATGATTTCAAGCGTTGAAATAAACTGTCTGTTAAATTTCGTCTTAATCTCGCATCTACTTCTGGAGATAACGTCATCTACACTTGCACACGTAATTTTGGCGGACCCTGTAGAAAATAAACTTGAACGTTTCTTTAGGAAAACGAAAAAGTCAGAAAGATTATTAAAGTCAGGACCTTTTTAGGTAAAAAATTTGTAAGAAATGCCTGGAAATTCAAGTAACTAAATCTCTTTTTTTCATAAAATTTTTAGTTTTGAAAAAATCATGGTGAACATCTCCACAAACGGAAGAAGAAAAGCAGAGTTTAAAACGATCCTAAAACGGGTCGCTGGCGGGCCCTGCCATAGTTCTTTAAACTCAACATTTTTGTACCAATTAAATTAAGTCTGATAGAACGCAACAAGTACTACAAAATGATGATATTTGGGATACTGTATATTTATGATTTTTCGAATAAATAGAATTTCCTCATTAAACTCGTCTTCCAAGAAAGAAAAAAAAACAAATTCTAGGCGAGCCCAAGGCGAAGGTGGAAAATTTTAGACAAAAACTGGGCGAAGTTTCGCCAGCTTTTGAGCGGCGTTTGGGCACCTTCTGGGAAAATCTTAAGCGAAATCTGGCCAAACAGAGCCCAAAAGATGGTCAATCTTTGCCCAAAAGACGACAGCCGCAGCCGAGTAGCTTGTTTATGAAGAATTGTTTTTTTGGTGTTTGATAACTTTGCTCCTAGACAAGATAAAGTTTTTCAAATAATGAGTTAGCAAACTGTGACCGTTCTAAACAAAATTTTGTAAAAAATTTCCTTTCTCAAATTGAACTTTTCGGTTTGAAAAAAAAAATGATAAAAAAGATAACCAAATGTGAAAACGGGCCTAAAACGAGTCACTGACGGGCCTTGCCATATCAACTAAATTAGGTTTGAAAGAGCTTAACGAGTACTAAAAAATTATGTTAATTAGGATACTTTAGCTTGTATATGAACAAGTTACGGGGGAAAAACCATCCTAGCTCGATTTTTTTGACTTTCGATAAATTTGTCATAGACCAGATATAATATTTCAATTTATATCATTTTATACTGCTTGTTGAGCTTTATCATATTCAATTAAGAAAATTTAAAAACAATTGATCCTTAAAAAATATGGCATTGCTCGCAGGAGCTTTCTTTCAAGTCTGTAGATGTCCTTGTTCCTTTTTGATCTATCTGTTTTCAGCTTTTTCCTCCCATTAAATCATTGACACCCATTCAACAGATCCCAACGTGTAATACATCACATCCATCCCTAATCCATGTCCTCTCTTCCGATTGCCGTATCGAAAAACGGCAGGTGTCATGAAAGAAAGAATAGGAAAAGACCGGTAATTGTCATTAGAATCGGTTGCCCATCTGTGCAAACAGACACCACGGCACTGTCCGGCTCTTGGTCAACAGGAAATCGGGGAAGGATATATGTTCAAAAAGACAAAAAAAAAATACAAAAAAAAGATGACCTTGTCTGTCTCCGTTAAACAAACCAATTCGATTCCCAAAAAAAAAACTCACTTGAATACTAATTTCTTTCGGTTGAATCTGCCGACCTCGTCTTGATTTAACGGATTGAAACGCGTCGAGTTGATCCCATTTCTCATCGATTCGAAGACGAGCCGCTATCCGTTCGGGATCGAATTTCATGCATTCTACTGATAGAATTAGTAGAATTAGGGGTGGCAGTGCCCCCAGCAGGGCATGCCTGTGCATCGGATATTCTAAAAAATTGGAAACTTTTTAAAAATAAAAAAGAAAAAAAGACGGGTGGGCTATAGAAGAAGGGAGACTGTCTGTCTCGAAATGAGAAAAAGCTTGGCCAAGATCTGGAGATTATACAAAATGGAAATAAAAAAGAGAAACGGAGATGAAAAAATGTGATTATTGTTGTAAAACCAAATGACTATGCAGCTAGGGATACTAAAAACGCCCGAAGAAAGTAGTAGATAAACAAACGGTTTTTTTTGAGGAAGAGAAAAAAAAAGTGAAAAAAAGAGAAAGCATAAGCAATGGACACCCTCTCCAGTCGGGGTTGGAAGTTTTCGGTTTCCGGAGAGATGGTGGCTGGAACCGGATTCTGATTCTAGAAGACGTGAGGGAAGGGAAGAATGTGATTTGAAGAGAAAGGAGTCGTGGTGAAAAGGGAGAGCTGGAAGTGAATGGGGTCATGGATTCCAAAGAATGGCTCCGAATTGAAAACAAATTGTTCAGAAAAAAAATTTAAAATGCTCGGTTTGAGCTTTGATAACGGGACAATATCTGGAAAGAAGAAACAGAAACAGATAACTTTGTAAATTTGGAAAATCAGGATTCCCAGAAAATTCAGTTTAAAAAATTAGATTTCCAGAAAATTCTAAATTTTTAAAAATTCGGAAAATCAAAAATACGGAAATTCAGAAAAGCGAAAAAATTTTCGAAAATTGTGAATTTCCAAAGAATTTTTCGCAACTTCCATATTTTTCGGAAATTGTGGATTCTCTGGAAATCGAATTTTTCATTTTTAATACAAAAAATTAGAAGTTCAAAAAATCAGAAATTCGAAAATTCCAGGAAATTCTGAAAAATTCGAAAAAATTGAAAATTCCAGAAAGTTCAGATTAAAAAAAAACAGATTGCCAGAAAATCTAAAATTTTCGAGAAGTTCAGAAATTCAAAATAACACAAATTTCAAAAAAATTAGAAACTCGGAAACTCAACAATTTTAGGAGATTCTGAAAAATTCCAGAATTCCAAAAATTCTCAAAAAAAAACCAATTCTGAAATCCGAAAGATGAATGATAATTCAAAAAATATATAAAAGAGCTAAAAAGAAATTCTCTCAACTATTCCAAATTCTCATGAGCTATGGAATGAAAAAGAATAAAACTAATAAATCACATCCCCCCATACAACACCGGGATACCTATTCAAATGAGAGGGATTAACTCAATGTGCACCGTTATTCAAACCATGGCATTTCTATACCGGATGGTAACAGTTGGAGAGCGGTGAAACGAGAAGAAATAGAAGGTAGAAGGGGCCTTAAGGAAGAAACAAAGAGCAGACACCGAGGGAATGTGTTTTAGGTGATGAAGGTCATTTGAGGTTGGTCCGTACGGGGGAACATAAAGGCTATTCCCTTCCTCGGATACAATAATTATCGGTTTGATGGAGGCAGTATTTTTCATAGTTGCAAACGGGCCGGCCCGGGCAGATGGCGGGCCATCAGATAGCTTGTCTCCAAAACGAGATATTCAGACAGTTTTGGTACCAAATGATAGATCTCGACAGGGCCCATCACGTCTATATCATTTTCGCCAGATTCCGGTCCATTAACATGCCGCGGGCCGGGCTAGAATGACGAAAAACCCGATATTGGCCAAATTTTTTCCGAGCCGGCCCGTTTGCAACTATGGTATGTTTTTCTGGTCTGGGGATTTTTGGTAAAATTTTACACTAGGACTAGGTTAGACTAAAAATATTTGAAAAATACATGAACTACTGAATTTACAGTGTGGCGCATCATTACCCGGCATAAAATTTGAGTAAGGCGTTGTACTGTGTTCAAATTTGGAGTGAAAAAATTCAAATAATTGATCAGTAAACAGGCCAAGTATCAAATAATTTGATTAACTTTGAGCTGAGTTATCGCTTGTCAAAGCTGCTTCATCTCATAAAAATCGCAACAAGAAACATTATGCCATTCATCTTTGAGCAATCATAACAATACCTAGACTGGAGGAATCGCTTTGAAAATTTCAGTAGCTTTAAATCAAACGTAACATTATATTTCTTTCAATTTTCGTGCTTCCAAGATACTTATGTCTAAAGATATAACCGTTTTTATTAGCTCGGGTAATTGTGCCACCCTAGTATAATGAAAAAATAGAAAAAAACTGTCAACTTATCAACTAAAAATTAGAAACATCCTTTTTACGGTAACCAATTTTCCTTCAAACAACTCGAAATAAGTTGAGAATTCGATATTTTCAAATATGCTAATTTTCAGACCTAAAAGTTCGAAATTTTGAAATCTGTTAGCGAGGCACTCGGAGTTTTATATATCACCACGGATGTTCGGAATGGCTTTTCCGAAATTTTTCGGAATGTCGAAAATTCAGAGTTTCAGAATTTTGAAATTTTGGAAATTCGTAATATTCTTATTTAAAAAAAATCGTAATTTCGTAATTCCCAACATCCCTGGATATCCTCCAGTAAAAAAAGTTTGAATACAAAAAATTCGAATTTTATATGAGGCTTATTTTATAGGAGACGAAAACTCAAGAAATATCTTGAACGCAGGGATTTTAGCCAGAGAATCAGTGGCAAAAAGTGCACATTCTCGAAGACTTTAGCTTAGAATGAGATTAGAATTCAAAAAATGTTTCCCTATTCCAAATCTCAAATCTAAAAGTTCTCACTAGAAGAAATGATGGTCCCTGCTTGCAAACGGAGCAAGCACGATAACAATCGATTTCATGAGCATACATATTTGTTGAAACAGAGAGAAACGGAATGAGGTATGATCCGTTGAGAGGGGGTCCCCTTCGCCCGGTACCCACTGTTTGCACTCAAATTGGTTCCGACGGTGTACAAGAAGGGACGACGACCTTCTTGAAAACTAAAGGAGTTGCCATCTTTTGTTTCAAAGAAGGTGCTAAACGAAGAGAGTGCCAGACACGAGTCTAGTATGTACTAGTTCGGAGCGGAAAAGGACACCGTAAGAATGGGTGAAGAATACTTTGGAAACAGAAATAAGTAAAAGAATGGGGGGAGAGAAAGCTGACAATCTGACAAAAAAACGAACATGCTAAAAGGCGGATAATGAAGAAACGAGGAGGAAGAATAACAAGATTATATGTCGCCAGAATGTCTTCTAAATGCTTTCTTTATACACATAACAACCACAACATAACATCACAAAACACCTCATTGTATACAAGATTACCATTTGTAGCTTATATGGAAAAAGGACCTGATTATGACGAAGCATGGGAAACTACTCAGAATTGAGTGGACGACGGGTTATATGAATGGATGGACACATACTATTGCATGGGAATTGGCATGGTCAGAAATTTGACCACTTGAAACGATAAAGGTGTAGAAATTGAGGGTTTTGTGCATAGAAAATTTGGAATTTCAAAAATGAAATTTAATTGAAATGTTTCTGGAGATGTGAAAAGTTTGTTTTTCCACATTTCCTCAAACCTATCTTACAGTATTTCCTCTAAAAGGAACAACTTTTGATGCTTGAAAATTTGAAGGAAAGATAATGTTTTAGCCATTTCCTTAGATTTTAGAGTTTCCAAAACTCGTACGTTTTTGAAATTTTCGGGGATTTTTCCATTTCAGAGTTTGGTGGTTTGGAAATTTTCGCCCTTCCAAATTTCTGATTTCTAGATTTTCAGTGTTTTGAATTTCCCATTTTTGAATTTTCAGAGTTTTCATAATTTGGAATTTCTCCAAAGATTTAGGATTTTTAAGTTTTGAAATTTCAGAATTTAAAGGTTTCTAAAATTCCAGATTTTCGTAAGTTTCATAAATTCTTAGAATT